AAACAAATAGCTACTATTAGGTAAGTGGAACACTTGAATTAAATATCCCAGGGACTAACGTGTAACAATTTCCAACAGGATTCCTTACTGAGAAGTCCGAGTGGGGACTCCTTCCATTAAATAAACAATAGGAATCATTTACATGAACAAAATGAATCGCTATAATCAGGCAAATGCAATATTATACTTGAATTAAATGGCCCAGGGCTACGATGCTATGAATTCCAACAGGATTCTTTACCTGAAGAGTCTGGGTGGGGTCTCCTACCATTAAATATACATTGAATGTAGGTCACATAGGAACATAAGGGAACTTCACTCCAAAGTTTCTTCCAGATTGGAGGGATGCACTTGTCAATGCTGAAAAATAAATATTAAGCAAAGAAAAATCCTAACGGCCACTTTAGAGCCAATAATACACAAAGCAAATTACATTTGCTTCAACACAAAAAAAGGCAGAGGCTGGGATGCTACCCCATGCGAAGGGTGCTATGTAAATTCATGTTGTTGTTGTTGATCTGAAAAGTAAGAGACCACTTACCTGGAAATGTGCGCTACCACCTAGTGAGCAATCATTGAGGAACACCACAAATGTTAGCCCAGTGTTTCTTTGGTCTAAGGATAGGAAAGGGACACATTTTTCCTCTGGAGATATGGAAGGAATAAATTGACACTAAACCAAGTTTTCAGATTATTGTTGATCACTGGAAGAGCTTTTTATTAGCTGTTTGAGTTTGCCAGATCTGTATTGAGATGAGGTCAGCACAAACCACCACGCACCAACTGCTGACCTCTTAAAGGCTGCTTTATCAAGTAGAGGACTTTAAGCAGAAGAGTTAACCGATGCAGCCATTTAATGCATAATTTGCATCAGAATTGGCAGTTCAACAGAGGAAAATTTCGCACATGCCAAGAGTTAAAGATAAATGTATCATTAATTGATAGTTTCCTTGCAACTGTCTTATCACTGGATAATAATATTAATTATATTTATTATATTGTATTATATTGTAATATTATATTGTAATATTATTATAATATAAGGTAATAATATTTAATATAATAAGATAATAATATAAGATACTTATACTAACCAAGTATCTGGGAGTCAATTCTTGGAGACAGACTTGCATCTTGTTTAAATGCTAAAAGCAACAGACTCAAGGTGAGGGGACATGTAGCATAGATGTTATGGTGGTAGGAGAGTTGAATTTGGGAGAGTTTAGCAAAATAAATAGCTGTAGAGCTGACAAAGACAATAAGTTATCCCCAAATTTCAGAGGCAAGAGAAATACTGTGAAAACCCACACGTTTCACAGAACAGCATGCTGTGAGTAATGGACTGCAAAACAACAACAACAACAACAACAAGATTCCATTTATAGAGCGCCTTTCACGTCAGGAGGACGTCCCAAGGCGCTGCACAGTTGGGTCATCTGCATGGGTCATCATCAAAACATCTGCAACAAGTAAGTGGAGAGAAGAGTAATTTAATGAAATGAATTATTCCATTATAGGATTTAAGCAGAACATACATTAAGTTTTATCAACTGGCAATAATTTACTTTTTAAAAACATTCCATTTACTAAGGAACCTAGAAAACATGGCCATTGCCCATTAAAACCATATTTGTTTTTGTAAAACAGATACAGTATCATAGTAAATTGCTTTTGACAGTAGGATGAGAAATGAAATCAGCTATATAGTCTTTCTAATCAAGAAATGCAAATAAGGATTGTACTGTCTGTCTGTGCAAGATTGTTTCTTAAATTTCATCCCAATATTCATCTTTCTTTAAAGAATTTGAATTGCCACAATCTCATTTCAGGGATTATGTGGTGGTATTTATAAACTATGAAGGTTCGTGGACTTCTGTTGCAGTAGAAAACAGAGATATAATTGGCATTGAGGTTTTCTGCACTATTGGTCTAATTTCTAGGTATCGTTCATAATATTACCATCCTTATTGATGCCAGGAAAACGAGCATTGAACCAGAAATGTTGCAATCCTACTGATGAATAATTCAGCACAAGCACCCATTTTCTCGACTTTCAATACCATTTAATGAGTTGCAGAGATGCACCTGCTCTATATTAATATTGGGTTATGAGTGACACAAGTATGAGAGATCTGTTTCATACCCGACCGATTCACTGGAGTTCGAATCACAAAAGCAATGGTTCACTGACCGCAAATAGTTACTTCCAAATGTTTCTCCAGTCTACCCTGGGTAAACACCCACTGTGAAATCACGCTGGGTACAAGGGCACCTCAGGCAGATAAACAACTGTATGACAGCAAAGCTCATATGTGCCAATCTCTCAAGCCACAATCCAATTATTGAGAGAGATTGAGTGCAGAGTTAGTTGACTGTAGCAAGGTTAAAAAAGGGTTGAAATCGATGAAGGTTACGTGACATGTACAGCAAAGTAAGTGCTGGGGCAAGGTGACTACAGAGAAAGGGCTGGACAAGTCTCTTGGTAGAACTTGTTCTGGAAATGTTGGCAAAAGTTAACTTGCACCCGAATTCTAATTTATAAAAGTTGGCTAGAACTTTTAAAATACGAGACTCTCCTGATTGGCTCCTGTCAGTGCCTCCTCACCTCAGGCGCTGAGAGCATCACCGTCCATGGTTGCACACTCCACCTTACTAAGGCAGTCCAGGAAACTTGGGGTCTTGTTTGACCCTCAACTATCCACATCTGCGCCATGACCCGCTCTGCCTTCCCCCACCTCCACAACATTGCCCGGCTCCACCACTGTCTCACTCTGCAGGCCGCCGAAACCCTTATACACACTTTTATTACATTGAGACTTGACCGTGCAAACACCCCTCAGGCTGCTGAAACCCTCATACGTGCCTCCATAACATCAAGGCTCGACTACGCAAACTCCTTGCTTGTCGGCCTCCCCAACTCCTCCCTCCATAGCCTGCAGATCATCCAGAACTCTGCAGCCCATGTCCTCTCCCGCACCAGGCTCCGTGACCCTTTTACCCCTATCCTTGCCCGACTCCACTGGCTTCCCAGTACACAGAGGATACAGTTCAAGATCCTGGTCCTCACCTTCAAAACCCTCATGATCTTGCTCTCCCCTACCTCTGCGACCT